TCCTTGACTCCTGCTTCCACTCTTCGCGTCTCTTTCTCTATCAAATTAATTTCACGGCATTTGACGACCGGTTATATCAATTATCGTTACTTTCGTGATTTATTAAACATCCTCGTGGCCGGCTTGTTGGACCATGGGAGATGCATATCGCGACAGGTCCCTGGGAGTAGTACCACGCGGACAAACATCAAGGTAGAAACTGCGATACGTCGGGTTGGCAGAATACGACGGCTCACCCCGGACATCCCCCTTACTTGCTGGACGCATGCGTCGCTTTGAAAGCGTGCCTGAAACGACCCCTACCAGATGCAGCGGCTATCCCGTTCGGAACGTTTTACTTCTACCTTTTCTTCCCGCACCGTTCCCGCACCCCTCTAGCACACCCGGTTGCGTATACATGGTACCATCGTATACATACTCACACACCCCCACCTCTCTTTACGTCACCCTGCTACTATCATACTACTCCTTCCAACCGTCTATTTCTCCTTGCGCTATCACTTTCTTCTTCCTCTTTTCTCGAAAGTCATCCCTCGAAAATCCTCTTACTCAAGGATGAAACTCACGAAAAACCGAGTCACGTTCCCTGTCGGCACGTTCAAAATTCGAGACCTTCCGTGAGCTATTCGATGAAAACGAGACAAAAGACTGAAAACGAGATGAAAATTACGGTACGTGAAGAGAAGTGAGTTAAAAGGAATGAGGATGAAGAGAGAGATTGCTTCTGGAGAGAAAGGGGAAGAGAGAGAAAGAGAGAGAGAGAGAGAGAAAATAAAAAAGAAAGAAAAGAAATGAAAAAGAGAGAGAGAGAGAGAGAGAGAGGTAGAGATAGAGAAGAAACGGCGAAAAGTCTTTCGATCGGCTATGAAATCTCGCCTGGCGCGAATTCGTACGTGAGGGGATGATCGCGAAGTCGTTGGGGTCGTGCGCATGCGCGTGAGGCTTCCGGTAAGAGCGGAGGGGGTGCAGTCGGGGGGTATGGGGGTGAGTCAGTCAGGCCGCAGCGCGCGTTCAGAAAACTACCCTCAACGCGGTCTTAACATACTCGCCGGGAATTTTTTAATTCGCGCTTACGCGTTGTATATCGTTGGGAATATTTTTTTTTCTCTCTCTCTTTCTCTCTCTCCCTTTCCCCCTTGTCTCTTTCTCTCCCTTTATCTCTCTCTCTCTCTCTCTCTTTTCTCTCTTTTCCTGTTTCTTTTCATCATCATCCCATTCTCTTTTTCTCTCTCTCTCTTCTCTCGCCCTCTCTCTTTGTCTTTCCCTTTCTCACTCCTTTTCTATACCCTTTTTTTTTTTTCAATCAAATATATCGTCGTTCGATCGTCAAACGATAGAAGAGGAAAGAAAGTTTGACACGATCCTGGCTAACAATCGTCCAATAATTGTCAATTAACGAGGCCAGAAGAGAAGAGGAGAGAAGTATACGTGTTCGAAAAAAAATTCAATAGATATCAATAGGATAATAATTACTGTTCGATGAATTCGTTGGACTTTGATATGGTGCATTGGTGTTAAAGATTTAATATTAATTATTATATAATACCGGCTGTCGGAAAAATGAGAGAGGTGCTCGTGGACTACGTCATATTAGAAGATGGTCGTGGGAATGGGATTAAATTTGTTCCCATCGTTTCGTCGTGCGACAACGTTGACATGTGAGAGAAAGAGAGAGAGAGAGAGTATAAAATGAAATAAAAAATAGGACGTCGGGCGTCGGGTGTCGCGAAGGAAGAAAGGAAGGAAGAAAGAAAGAAAGAAAGAAAGAAAGAAAGGAAGGAAGGTTGTGCGGTTTCAAAGGATCATCGGTGAACTGGATGCGTTAATATTTTTCAAATGGGCGAAAGAGAGAGATAAAGGACATAGATAAAATTAAAAGAGAAAAGAAAGAAGGAACTAGGAAGAAGGACCTAAGGATTATAAGAAGACGATCGAAAGTTTTCTCTTTCGGGGAGAGAGAGAGAGAGAGAGAGAGGGGCGAGACTTTTTCTTCTCTTTTTTTGCTTTCGATAACTCGAAAAAGAAAAAAGTATATATACGTCGTGAGTTTTCGTTAATCGTTATGACGATTTCGCGAGTGTACAAGAACGATCTTCGTTGTATTCACGAGACATTTTTTATTTACTTCTTTCTCCCTTTTTTTTTGTTTTCTTCTTCTCCCCTTTCCTTTCAATCGATCACGTTGAAATAATAAATACGAGCAAGTTTTGATGAAGTCGAACGGTGTATACATATTTTTACCTATTGTCACTTGTGCATCTCGTTTAATCGCCGTAAAGTATTTGGAAAAAGAGATCCGTCGGAAATTTCATTCGTCTCAAATGCTTCCGAGTTATACGCCGTCAAGAATTATCAAGGAATTATAAATAATAAAGGAAGAAGACACGGAGCAAGAGATAGATGGACAGACAGATAGACAGATAGATAAATAAAGAGAGAGAAAGAGAGAGAGAGAGAGAGAGAGAGAAAGAGAGAGAAGGAGAGACAGGAAGTTTTTAAAGATTTCGTCGGAAGACTTAAAGCGGCTTAAAGTTATGCCGCATAAAACGTTGCTGTTGGAGTTAAGAAGAAGTTAAGATAAAAAAAAAAAAAAAAAAGGTGGGGAGGAGGAGAGAATAGGGAAAGAAAAGAAAAATAAGAGGAAATAACAAAAAAGAAAAAGAAAAAAGAAATAAATAAAAGAGGAAAAAAAAACCAAAAAAAAAGAGAGACAGAGAGAGAGAGAGAGAGAGAGAAACAAGGGAAGAGAGAAGAGAAAAGGAAAAGGAGAAAAGAAATTAAACGGAGAAGGAGAGGAGAAGAAAATGAATAGTTTAGGTGGTAAAGAGGATGATAAAGCCAGGGAGGAAGATAGTCATGGCGTATAAACGTTGCGATTTAACCCTCTTAACGGACGAGTGAGAATTTGAGAAATTTCGCGGTCTAATCCGATGCTCGGCGGGTCCGAGGTAACGAGGAACGGAGGAAGAAGAAGAGGAAGAAGAGGAGAAGTGGCAGGAGAAGAAGGAGGAGAAGAAGAAGGAGGAGGAAGAGGAGAAGGAGGAGAAGAAGGAGGAGAAGGAGAAGGAGGAGGAGGAGGAAGTAGAAGAAGAAGAAGAAGAGGAGGAAGAGGAGGAGGAGGAAGAGCAAGAGGAAGCGAAAGAAGAAGCTAACCCTCGGTTCGTTCCTTGAAAATCCTTCCTCGATTAAGGAGGAAAAGGATTCTCTCTCTGCCGTTAGTTCGGCCATAGCGCGAGAGAACCCGAAAAAATATGGGATGGTCGTGGAATCACAGAAAGAAAGTGTCGAGATAATCGTTTCGAGAAGCGTCGCCGCCAAGGATGAGGAAGCTTTGCTGAGGAAGCTAAAAACGTAATAATGGAAGGAGGAAACGATATAAGAGCGTTTTCTCGTTTCTTCGTCCTTTGTCGTCATCTCTCTCTCTCTCTCTCTTTCTCTTTCTTTCGTGTGACGAAAGATAAAAAAAAAGTAGAAGTTACTCGCTCGAGTACGTCGGTCGGTGGTTACGATTCTTTTTCATTCATTTTTCTTTTCTTTTTTTTTTCTTTTCTTTTTTCTTCTTTTCTTTTTTTTTTTTTTTGTTTTTTCTTTTCGAAAATAAATCGATAGGATAAAAGAACAATAAGAGTGAGAGTAAGTGAGTAGGAGAGAGAGAGAGAGAGAGAGAGAGAGAGAGAGAAAGAGAGAAAGACGGAAAAAAGGAAAGAGAACAAAGAAAGAAAAATAAGCTTCTAATCGGAAGAACAGCCAGTTCCTCCAGTGAGAGGAGGATCTGTATCTAGGAGGTGACTCTTAAGAATAAAAAGAAGAAGAAGAAGTGAAATAAGAGAGAAGAGGATTCGTATCGAGTTTTCTCTCTTTCGGTCGTTACCGAGTCGGCGTTTTTTTTTTCAAAAAAGAGCCTTTGAAATCGATTGTCGATGTTATCCAAAGAATCGTCTTATTCGTCGATGCATACGGACACGGATAGAGGGAGGAGAGAGATGAAGAAGAAGGAAAAGGGTAAAGGGAGGTTTGGGGGGATGGAGAAAAGATGTAAATAAATTCGGGAAAAATCGAGCTATCGGTTCTCAGGTTGGAGAACGCGATCAAGGAAAACGCGATCTCTTTAACGTTAGTAAGCGAAGAGGGCAAAAACGAAAAGGGGAGTGATGTAGTGGGAGTGGGAGGGGGGAAACTCGAAGGAACAACATTCGTGGGATTCCTTTCGACATAGTCGAGTTACGAAGGCGTATTCCTTTGAAAGCCGACATATTTGCATTATATATATATATATATATATATATATATATATATATACATATCTTTCTCTCAGTGATACCTTTCGAATAGTCGTGCGTCTCCGATTTTCTTTTTCTTTTTTTTTTTTTTATCGCGTCGTTCTTAATCTTTGCTAGTTCAAAAGCACAAATATTTCTTTTTTTGTGTTTTTATTATTATTTTTTTTTTTTTGTACGAATAACTCACGCTTTAAAAACAGCATCATCCCTCTTCCGTATATATACATATATATATATATATATATATATATATATATATATATATAATTTTAGTATTCCTTTCTTCTTCTTCTTCTTCTTCTTCTTCCTCTTCGTATGATACTTAAGGACAATACTTACAAACAAGTAGAGAGAGGACGATAAAATAAGGGTCGATATATATATATATACCGCTCGAGAATAAAATCTTTCGGTATTGTTATCGTTATCGTACGATATCGTGTCGGATCTCAAACGTAAGAGATCAACAGTGAAAAAGTTTGGTGGAAGAGATCAAGATCACTTTTTTGCTTCGTCCTTTGTTTTCTTATTTGTTTCTTCTTTTTTTTTCTTCTTCTTCTTTTCTTTTTATTTTTTTTTTTTTCCATCGTCCAATACGTCGATTTACACGTCTACACGCTCTACCAATTCGTCGTTCGGCCCTTTTGTGATAATGAATTGAGGGCCCAAAGTGAAAGGTGGTATGTTATTTGACGAGGGTGATTTGTTTTTTTTTCATAGGTGCCACACCGGGACGGTGTTGTTAAGTGTGCAGTGATCACGGGTGACCGAGGAAAGACGAGAAAGAGGGTGGTCAATATGACTCCTATCTTCCTCGTTCTGTTGGTGGCAATCGACCCGATTATCGCGCAGAATGGTGGTGAGTAATCGACCAGAGAAAAATATTAAGTGCGTTTAAAATTTAAAAAAAAAAAAAAATGACTCTTCTCCGAGCACACGCGACGACGATGTATAAAACATCAAACAAATGGACGCTAGAGACTGTGTAAATGATTGTGGACAATTCAACCAACAACGATCAGACTGTCTTATCATCTGAACTGATAACGAACTGAATAAAGACATATTCTTTGTCGTTAAATGCGTCCATGGTGTTTCGTCGAGAAGAGTCGAACCCAACGAGAAAATTATTTGTCTTCAATTGCATTCTTGCATGTTAGTCATATAAGAGAGATCGGAATACTATTTCGTTTGCGTCGCCATTTTCATTTTCGCGACTATCTCGCGTTTCCGTGGTTTATATATATATGTGTATATATTATTATTATTTTTTTTTCTTTTTTTTTTCTTTTTCCTTCTCGTTCGTTCTCTAACGGGCGTCGAATATTTATTTCGTGCGTGAGAAAGGAATAAAAGAAGAAAAAAAGAAAAAAAAAAAAGGAACGCGAAAAGAAATAAACAAAGGAAAAAAGGAGAGAAAAATTCGATTCCCGTCGATAAAACGGGGAAGAAGGACAAATTCGTAAATCAATCGGGAACGAAGGGTGTCGTCGACAATACCGTTCGAATTTTCGTGGCGTTTTTTCTTTCTTCCTTTTTTCGCTGTTTTTTTTTTTTTTTTTTTTCTTTGTTTTTCGAAGCACCACCACCGCCGTCGGTGGTTGGGTATCCATTCGCGATTTCTCGAATGGAGAGATATAGTCGTAAAAGAATCGAATCGTGTTGTTTGTCCGTTCGACGAATCCTGATCTCCGTTAACCGTTTATACGGAGCAAATCCTCGTGAAAACGAGGATAAAAGGAAGGAGAGATATTCGAAGGAAGAATGTTGTGGTGTTACTCGTTCGAAAACTCGTTGGGGATAAATGAGTTTTGTTCGTCGAATTGGAGGCCAACGAATGCAAAGGGTTATGGACTTTTTAAGGACTGAAGTGACCGTACTACGATAAGACGCAAACGACGAAACGAGGCAACACGCTAATTAGGCTTGGGTCTTCTACTTATTCTATTTTCATCTTACAATATACGTATATATGTATATACATATATATTTATTTTTTTTCTTTTTCTAGGTAAAAAGAAAGAAAAAAAAAGAAAAAACAAAATCGAGGTCTTTTTTTCTTCTTCTTCGTAAAAAATTGCATTATCAAATTTACGAATCGAATCGAAGAAAACGTACGATCTCGATCTATCTTTCTCTCTCTTTCTCTCTCAGATGTAGCAATAACGAGAAAGAGAAGGGGAGAGAGAGAGAGATAGAGAGAGAGAGTTTCGGTACTTCGAATCAGTTTTGGTTTGCGATCATTAAGCGCTAATCTGTCGCGGCAGTTGGCTAATCCAGCGGAGCTTTACGCCCAGTCCGTAATGACGATGATACATACCCCCCAGCATTTCGGTCAATTAATTACGTCGCTTCCTAATCCTAATTCGATTGTCGGAAAGCCCACCAACCGGATTTCGATTGCTCGTCGCGAACGACGATCTCATGCGAGAACATTAAACGAGCAAAGCCGATCTTCGGCGATCACAGTGCTCGCAGAGGGAGGATCGTTTGATCCATTTGGCTCTATCCCGTCTTAGAGTTACGTCAAACCTATATAGAAGATCTATGTTTCACGGTGAGCGAACGCCTAATTGATACGTTCAGATGGATTAATTTTATCAGCTAATTTATTTCTGTCAATAAGATACATGGATATAATATTATCAGAGAAGGATATATATACACACATATATATATATATATATATATGTGTGTGTGTATTATCGAAAAAAAAGAATAGTTTATTTTATTTAAGAGAGATTAATTAGATTATTAGAAATGATTAAAGTTAATAATAATAACAATATTTGAAAGGGAATGTATATTTTATACGTATTAATTTCTCGACAATGCCTTTGACATGGATTTTGTATTTTCACAAACCATTCTCTCTCTCTCTCTCTCTCTCTCTCTCTTTTGCTTTCTATTGTATATTTGATTGAAATGATATTATAAATGAAATAAAAATCTAAAGCTATCAACATGGAGAGAGAGAGAGAGAGAGAGAGAGGGAGAGAGAAAGAGAAAGAAGAAAAGGGAGTGAAACGAACGTTCGTTCCTCTTTAAGAATTCAACTTGAAGGCAACGTATACAGGTACAATACGTACGTATAGTCAGGTATATAATTTGAAGCCCTTGTCGAAAGTAAAACAGTCGTCTAGGGAAACCTCACGTTTCTCGTGAGACTGGCTAGGAGATTAGCAACTAAAAATAATATGCAAAGCAAAGAAAACGAAGAAGAAAAAGAAGAAGAAAAAACAACAGAAAAAAGAAAAGAAAAAAGAAAAGGTGAAGAGTTTCTCTTTTGCATTCTTGTTTGTTTGTTCTCTTCCTTTCTTTCTATCTTCTTTTTATTTATTTTTTTTTCTTCTTCTTCTTCTTCTTCTTCTCTTTTTCTTACTCTCTCGTAGACGATAAAAGACGAAGAATTCGTCGAAAGCACTTCGAGACGTCGAACTCCATTCAGCTTTCAAATAAGCCCCCGTGTAAATGGATAGAACGAAACGCAGGAAAAACGGGATCGATATTTTCGCTTTAAAAGATTCAACCGGCAAATGGAATTATTCTCGAGCCTTTCCTTCGTCGGAAGCTAAAGATAGGGGCGTGGTGGCGTAGAGAGAGATAGAGTGGCGTTGATGGTGGATAGAAGGAACTGCTTGGAAAATTTCGAGCATCGCGCTTCGAAAAGAAGGAGAAGGAGAATGAGTAGGAGGAGGAGGAGGAGGAGGAGAAGAGAGAGAGAGAGAGAGAGAGAGAGAGAGTCTCTTTTTATGAAAGATATCTATATATCAATTCGTGGCCCCCTTTTCCCCACCCCTCCTCTACCCCTCGGTCGAATGAAAATCCTTTGACACGGATCGCACATTATCTTTTATATTCTTCTCTCTCTCTCTCTCTCTCTCTTTTTCTCTTGTCGTTTACAGTAGGACTGTAAAATGGGGTTGGTAGTATGAAAACGAGCCATTTCGGAGGCTCTCCATTGGCTGCAACGAAGGACGTTAGATTCGATCGGTGTAGAACGAATGATTTTTCCCGGTGGAGTTACTTATTCGAATTCAATAGCTTCGCTTTTCACAATTCTGTTCATTTGAGAGTGAGAGATAGAGAGGGAGAGAGAGAGAGAGAGAGAGGGTGATGGTGGTGGGGGGAGAGGGAGAAAGAGAGAGTGAGGAAATGTCATGGACGCAAGGGAAATCCGCGTTGGCGATGCGTCTCTCTTTCTATATTTTTCGTCTCCCTTCATTCATTCATTCCTCTTTCAATTTTTTTTCTCCCTTTCTTTTCTTGTCTTTTTTTTTCTTTTTTTTTTTTTTTTTGTTTCATTTTTTTTTTCTTTTCTTTTTTGTTTTTAATTCATACACGTTCACCTAGTTCCGGATCGATGCTCGTAGTCTCATCGAAAATTGGCACTAGCCAGTAGTAGACAGAATAGAAAGTGGCAGTTTTATGTTACCGCTGGAATAGGAATGAAAGAAGACGGAGAGGAAAGGTGACCGCAAAAGATAAAAAGAATAAAAGAGAAAGAAGAAGAGAAAGAGAGAGAGAGAGAGAGAGAGATGAAGAGAGAAAAGGAGATGAGTGTGAGGATGGAATCCATAGTTAATGCGGATCCGTTCTGTCCTCTTCCCTGTCTGCCTCGAGGAGAAGCGAAGCAGTTGAGGTCGACTGCGAAGATTTCCTCGGAGGCTCTCTTTCTCTTCTTCTTTTTCTTTTTTTTTTTTCTTTTTTTTTTTTCTTTTTTTTTCATTTCTTTCTTTTTTTTTTATTTTTGTAGAAATGCTGCTAGATAGATGTCTCTGACTATCTCTTTCTATTTCTCTCTCTCTCTCTCTCTCTGTCTCTCTCTGTCTCTCTCTCTGTCTCTCTCTCCTTTCGCATTCACGTAATATCAAGATTCGTGATAAGTCGACAGTCGAATTGGATTGTTATTCGAAAAAAAAAAAAGAAGAAAAAAAAGAAAAAAGAAAAGAATTAAAAACTTAATTAATAATTCTAGATTCATACTTTCATTATGACATTTTCATGAATTATTTTCGTTGTCGATTAAAAAAAAAGAAAAATTTCTTTTCTTCCTTTTTTTTTTTTTTTTTTTTTTTTTTTTTGTTTTTTTGTCCTCCCTTTCAATTCCGTCAATCTCTATCTCGATAAATTTTTTAATCAAACACGCCTAAATATATATGAGATTTTTGAATATTTGAAAAAAAAAAAGAGAAGAATCTAATAAGAAATGTTATTCTCTAATCGATCGTCAAAAACAAGAGACACTAGAATGATTGAGCGAAATCGATCGAGATCATCGAATAACAACGTTCTTTGCACGAGAAGCCCCTGTCAAAAGTTTGAACCACACGTTATTTATATCGTCATATCAGACACGATAATTTACGCTCGACGCGTCCCGTTACATCGAACATTTCGAATCTGATCGCTCTGTGCTCTGTGGCTCGACATCGTTAAACTTTTTTTTGCTTTTTGTTTGTTGTTTTTTCTTTTTTTTTTTCTCCCCCCTTTTTTCATCGACAATCGATCCGATCGAACAAACGAACGAATTTCGCTAGTTGGTATGTTTCAAGATCTCCATAAAAAAATTTTCACCAAGATACCTACCTAAAACTTTTCGAATATCGAATCCGTTCGCGCTCAACAAAAAAAGAAAAAAAAACATATATTTCTAAAATTTCTAAATAAATAAATAAGAGAAAAGAAATATATACATATATGTATATGCACCAATCGATTGTTACATTTATATTTAATGTTATATTATTGTATTTAATAAGGGAAAAAAAAAAAAGAAAAAAAAGAAAAAAAGAACAAGAATAATCAAAAATTCGTAGAATGAGAACGCATGTAAGTAGAGTTAAAAAAATTTCTCCT